CCATTTTGTTTTTCAATTTTGAGGGTCCGAAAACATTTTTCAGCTTGGAGACCTATTTATTCATGATCAGCACTCTTTGAATGTCTTAAAAAGTCAAGTTTCCAAAATCTTAAATATAGAGAAACAGTCATGGGTGAAAATACAGTGCACACCTACCACTATTTGAGACGATTTTGACGGCCATTTTGTGTTTCAATTTTGAGGGTCAAAAACGCTTTTTTCAGCTTGGTATCCTATTGTTTCGTGATCAGCAAACCCTGGATACCAAATCCTACTAAAAATGCCTCTTGCATTACTTTTATCCACAATAGGTCCTAGTCTATAACTTTTCATGCGGATTTTCTTGACAGATCTTTAGATTGCATTCTGAGGTAATTTGGATATTTTATCTACTTATTGTTCATGTAATATCAGTTGGATATAACTTGGATATGCATCAGTGTGTGTTAGTCTCAAATGCAAAGTATTGTGAATTTGGTGATCTTATTGGTTTAAATAGCCCAATAAATACTTTATATTCACTATAAAGTGATATTAGTTATGTGATTAATAATAGGCGTATAAAAGACAAGGCAAACCATGTAAGCATGTGCTGAATGGATAATCATTAGTATGGCTTCATAACCACAAATGAATGAATGAGGTCTTATCTTGCATTGTTTCATATCTTGCTCAGCTACCACCATGTGTGTTTGATTAATGTATCATTACTGATGATGCTTTTGTGAGTGTTCGTTATTAGCATATCTGTACATATTATTATTATACTGAGTCAAAAAAGAAACTTCACATTCTTTCTTCAGGGCACTATAAAAGAACAAGAGATGGTAAGATGGTTAAATTGTTATTATTTCATTGCTGAGATCTGTGTGATGTACTCGATACACTGACAGTGCCATAATCAGTTCCAGTAGGCTACACCTCCGTTCAAAAACATGGGTATACAGAATGTCAAGTCACAAGAATAAAAATTCGAAGTTTCTCAGTTCAATATTGTGTATGGCCGCCCCGCGCATTCACCACTTCCAAACACCGTCTCATCGACTGCCTGATGCTTGTGAACACATGGTTGGGGATTCTGGGCCATTGCTCTTGCAAGGCAGCGACAAGTTCCTGCAAATTCTGAGGTTTGTTCTTAAGACCACGAAGCCTTCTCCCAAGTGCATCCCAAACGTGCTCTATTGGATTAAGGTCAGGGGACCTCGATGGCCAGTCCATGACGTCCAGCGTTTTGAAGGACATTTCGTGTCAACATCGCGGTATGCGGCCGAGCATTATCATGCTGGAACTGTAGACCTGGACCATGAGCCGCCATGAAAGTTACGAGTTCAGGGGTGAGCACCTGGTCGCGCTAAGCAGCAGCTGTTGGTTTCTACGGATGACCAGAAGTCGGGAACGGTTGTTCCCACAGAAGGCACCCCACAACATGCAACTTCCGCCCCCGAATCTGTCGACTTCCTGTACACAACATTGGGCATACCGTTCACGACGTCGTTTCCAGACTTTACGCCTGCCGTCCGCGAATCTGATTCATCGCTAAAGACGACTCGATTCCAGTCTCTCTGGGTCCATCGGAGGTGACGTTGGGCCCACAGCAGACGTTGACGTTGATGAAACGGCGTCAATATTGGCCCACGATATGGTCGTCGAGAATGGAGATTGGCAGCCCGCAACCGATTTCGAATGGTCTGTGAGGACAGTCGACCTCTAAACATCTCAGCCCTGGTTCGTGTAGCCGGTGGAAATCTCTTCACGTAGGTGACGTAGGACGATTTGACGGTCTTCTGCTCGTGACGTCACACGTGGACGACCCGACCTCGGGCGATCAGAAGTGGTGCCAGTTTGTTGTAGACGACCTCGCAAGTCATACACAGTTCGACGGCTGCATCCCATTGCTCTTGCGACGTCAATAACTGATCTTTCAGCTTGCAACATGCCAACGGCACGTTCACGTTGCACATTTGACAATCGTGGCATTTAAAGTACCGTTAGAACTGTGGTTTAAAAGTGTGTTTTCAATTCTTGAGGCCAATGCAAACACGTGCATATGAAGAAAACTTCGATGCGAAGATCACGTGATCGACTGCACGTGTAAACCTGATTTGGCACTAACGTCATTTGTACGACGAATGGATGGGTTTGAGTGGGTTATCTAACGTTTTACTAGAGTCGAAAGATAGGGATCCCATTTCGGATACATAGATGTATCATCAGAGAAAAAAATTTCATTATTTTTAAAAATTACATTTTGTGAAGTTTCTTTTTTGACTCAGAATATTTTCTCTACAGACGAGCATTTGATACGGCAGCGTCCCCAGGTGAGAAATAAACCTTTGCCCACACATCTGGTAGGTTAATGCATTGTGTATATGTCATGTATCAACCGAAAGAATTTTGTATACAGTAATTGCTTACTGAAGAAACTATTTTGTAAAGTATATGTACGAATCATATTTGTTTAGGAAATGTGTATATTGCTGCATCCATTATATTGTACATCTGAATGTTTCAGGGTTGTTGTTTTCACTACCCATATCTCCAATAAACCATCGGCCATTGAAGAATAAAAGTAGCGTCTGTTGTCTGTGCGTGACTGACGCAGTCCTGCTACACTATAGCACGTCGTCACCGTTGCGCTCAAATCGTAACAACATAAGTGCCTGGAAACTGGCGGCGCATATGGTTATAGTGATGAATCCAGCTGGTTCCTAGTGCAGAGATGTGACGGAAGAAACTGGGTCTAAAGACGGGACGTTATGCTCCTAGCTGTGTGCGTGAAGTGAACAGATTTGGTGGGGAACGTGTTATGATGTTGGCAGCAATATCTTACACTAATCGCACCAATCTGGTCCACGTCCGAGGAGACCTGACGGCTGTGCGTTACAGAGACACTATCCTGCAGCCACACCTCCCGCCAGCCTTTGATGACGTGAGTTGTTCCACAGGAGAACGCCAGGCCACACACTGCACGTGTCACAATGAACTTTCTTGCCGCTTACAATGTTAATGTGCTCCCCTGGCCTTCTCGTTCCCCGGATCTTAATCCAATAGAGCACCTTTGGGATGAACTCGATCGCAGCGTCAACGTCAACCACAAACATTTCCGGAGCATCCCTGGTCTGAGAAGTATTTCCGACCAAACTGTTAGGAATCGATGGCGTAAAGTGGGGATTCAACCAAGAAGGCCAGTTGTCGCCCCTGTTTTGAGAGACTTCCAACGGTGGTGTCGTAGAGTAGGCAACTGGAACCTTAGAGGCGAGTTCATCCTCACCGGCGAGATGAAAAACAGCGTGTTTACTGTCGGAGAATGAACGTTTTGTCCCTAATTGCATTGGACAGGTCGACAGATTCGGTGGAGACAATGTCATGGTGTGGTGTGCGATATCCAGCACACAAAGATCTGATTTAGTGGTGGTTCAGGGGAATTTGACAGCAAATCGGTATATCGGTCCTTGCACGTCATATGCTTCCGATTGTGGACAGACAGATTGAGTTGTTTCCGCATGACAACGCTACTTCACATAGAGCACGCATCATGGTCCGCTACCCTACCATTTCTTACGTCAGTGTCTTGCCATCACCATATCGAAACCCGATAGAACAGTACACCTATGGGATGAACTCGATCGATGTGTACGTCAACTTCGAAACACGCCTCAGACACCTCCACAAACTGGCCATCCTATTGCAGAAAGATTTGGGAAGAATACGGCAAGAGCGACTTCGTCGACGTATCCAGTCTGTGCCGAGCAGTAATTGCTGCCAATGGTGGCCATTGGAAACACAAACACAACAAATAAGGCTACTGTTGTTTTGGCGAACTCTTTGTGTATATATGAATATGTGAATATGTATGTGAATTTTCACCTTCTAACCATTGAAATTACATGACATAATTGATCTTAAACGAACGGAAAAGTGTTTTTTATAATTGCATTACATTACATTACATTACATCACATTACATTACATTACATTATATTATAACAGTATACTAAAGGACGTTCCGTGTAATACCATTTTTATTAAACGAGTTAATGATTTGGTATCAAACGGGCGAAAGCGAGTTTGAAGCTAAATCGTTCACGAGTTTAATAAAAATGGTATTTCACGGAAGCAAGTTCAGTATTCTGTTTATTACTCTCCAACACAAACTGATACTAACTGCCTACGAAGTGTATTGACTTTCAGCTTTCCACGAGTCAAGCAAGGTCTAATACCATTGTGACAGAGGTATTAGCATTGTGACGTCATATCTGTAAACCCTTATGACGTCATACATCTAGCGGTATTACACTAGTGTAAAAATATTACACTGCAGTATGTTCCACGGGCGAGTAATAGCATAGCATAGCATAGCATAGCATAGCATAGCATAGCATAGCATAGCATAGCATAGCATAGCATAGCATAGCATAGCTTAGTTTAGTTTAGTTTAGTATAGTATAGTATAGTATAGTATAGGTAGTAATTTTCCTGTACCACGATTAGTCAAAATACCGTCACGTGATTGTCTACAAAACACAATATTGACATGAGTTTTCTGACTTGGGTTACTAAAAATAGACAAGGACTCACGTACGAAGGGGCTTCCTCTGCTTTTCAGCCAATCAATATATAATAATAATAATCAGTATAATATGGCATCCTTATGGAAGGTTTCTCTTTCATTATATAAGAAAACAATTTATAGACTCTTGGAGAAATCGATATCGGTTTTATTGACCTGAGTAAAACAATATCGACCAATATAATTATGTTATTATTATGTTATCCATATTATATGATTAAGCTACGTTACGTTACGTTACATTACATTACATTTGTTGAGATGCAGAAGTCTTCGGAAAACTGCTGACTCAGCTTGATCATTTGAAAGCAGGTTTGTTAACTGGTGCTTAAAAATGTAAAAAATATGAATATAATCCTCACATCTCTGAAACAAGTAGATATCTAGATTTCCCATGATGCACTTATATAACGGTGAAATATTCACATACGGTTTGGTTGTGGATCTTGTGGGCGGGGACTTGGACGAGGAATTTCCTTTCCATGTTTTTCTGCAACAGGAAATAATTGTGATCATGTATGGATAGATTCATATATGGTTTTTTTGCTGTAAAGTATTGTTTTGTAATTTTTTCTTCCTGAAAATATGTTTAACTATGGTCAAATTAGTGAAGCACCAAGGAGCTTGCACTCACAGGAGCTTGTATTACTGACAATAATACGTCCTAGGTCCAACATTCGTTCACTGATAGCCATCTATGAAGACCAAAAGTGGTGGACCTCGGACGTATTATTGTCAGCAATATTTTTTTATTTTCCATAAAGTGCACACAAACATGCACTTCACATTCATGTTATCGTACATATCAAGGTTATACACAGAGCAAACACGAAACGTTACTCATATCTAAGTGGACTGATTTATTGCTGTTGTTATTTTATTAGATCATAGTCACCACTGCAGGTCAGAAAATCGTGTGAAGTCCCGGTTTACTACCCTACCTCCCTCCCCCCTCCCTTCTTATATATATATATATATATATATATATAGGGGTGGGGGGTGGAGGTTTCATAGTAAACCGGGGCTTAGTGGGCCTATGATTTTGATCAAAGTACATAACTTGGTAGTTAATGTTTACATAGGAGGGTAGTTGTTGAAGTACCAGTTTTTCTCTGAGCGCATCTAATCATTTTTTCAAATACTATTTTAGTACACACAATAGTTACATATGAGTCCATCGAGATCATACAGTGACCACCTACCTTTATCGGACATCCTGCCGTTCAGTTCAGCCTTCCCAATCTGAGACGAATGGAAGCCTAGCTCCAGACGAATGACGTCAACTTCCGTTCGTCAGAACTCGCCCCTTTCCGTACATCCGTCACCTCTCGCATCTTTTCGGCTTGTCCCGGAATAACACGAATCGGTCACGAATGCTTTCCGTATTCGGCTTGTCACGGAATAACACGAAATGGTCAAGAATGGTCATCTTCATGAGGTATCTCCCCCACACCGACGAAGTATTGTGTCAGCACTAAGGATAACACCCCTGCATCAGGCGAATTGTAAACAAGTGCTGAAAATGGCCCGTTTTCGACACAATGCAAAGCATTATTTGGTGTACGTTTTGAAATGTAAAAATCGGATAATTATTTGGAGGTATGACTTTTGAAAATAGCATATTATTGATCAATGATGTCTGCTATTCATCAAATCACCAGTTGTAGTTCCACAACGTCCCCGATAAACCTTGAAACGGTTGGGATATTCTGGAGACGCTAATTACATCACGTCTATTAGGCACACTTGGTTGCGATATTTACATCACTGAATTCCTCATAGATTTAAGAATAAAATAACAAAAAACTCTTTGTCACCAATATGAAGTGCCTGGGTGAAATCAAAGGAAATATACTGGGTGTGAAAAAGAACACTGTGCTCGTAGGACTGCGCTTATTTGCATTTTCTCAAAGTTTAAGACATTTATTCGTTTTTTCGTTGCATACATTGGTGTTTCTAGACTGACGTCATTCCGACCTTACGCACAACGAGATATGAATGACGTCAACAATGCCGACCGGATGACGAAAACTATACACTGGTGCGCGTGAAGTGATATTTGCACTCCTGAATTTTTATAATGTCAGTTATTTTCAACCACCTGGGTAATGTTATAGTGAACATTACCAGCCAACTGACTGAAGTGATATTTGCACTTGTGCACTTGGAATTTTTATTATCCATGTGGTGAAACATAACCAGTGTCCTAAATATCATGTGTGCACATGCGCATTTATATTACCTTCATGTAAAATATTTTAATTTCATTGGTCAATGAAGTTTTAACAAATTTCCGTGTCACCCTCCCTGAAGGGTGACAACTGGAAAAAATATTGCCCGCTGCCATAACAACTCGTGTTTGCCGAATTGAAGCTCCATACAGCGACACCGGCTGCGGTCGGTGTAAATTCTAATGGAATTGGAGATGCAAGTGATGCAGTTTGTATGTAAACATTCGTTAACCGGATTTCATCTGTCAATTAAATGGCGACAAACAAACACTTCGCTTCGCCTCGCATTCTAATGAAGAAATCCACAAAAAACGTTCTAAAGTGATTCCAGACGAAGAAATCAAACTACTCATCGGCAAAGATCTTGAAGGAATGCTTAAAAGAAATGAGCCAAAATCCTAATTTTGAGAATGTGAACGCAGCCGCGTTAGCGGAGATATTCTCACATTTTTACATGGATATTCGGACAAAAACTGGAGACCAGTACAGGACCTCGACCCTGGAGAATATAAGGGACAGTTTAAACAGGTATCTGAAATCACCGCCACACTGCAAAATATTCGATATAATCAAAGACTCAAGATACAGTGATGCTAACGAGTCATTCAATGTTGGAACTGAAAGCTGCAGGTAAGGGTGAAACAGAACACAAGCAAATGATTTCAGAATCTGACAGAGTGAAACTTTATTCCGCAATTCATATGAACACCAACATTCCCTATGGCGTCTCAAATATGGTACAATATAACATAAGATTCTACTGGAAAACATGGGGGGGGAAAAATCTACCTTCGCGATACTATTAGTTGAGTTTATAAAACTGTTACTTCTGCATATCACCTTGTATCACCTTGCCTTGTGTTTATGCTATCAATACATATTTTATCAACGTTCTATGTTGCTGCGTGTTGTTTATCAAGTGAAAAATGCGAGAAAAAAAGCTAACTAAATTCTTTATTATTTAAACATCTGATATACAACCACACTTCATATTAATTCAATACATTTTCAGTCAATATTTCTCCCCGTCGTGGCTGACATTTCAAATCTCAGAGTTCGGCAAATCTCCCGACCTGTCGGTAGGGGAAATTATCGCAGGCTGTAATTTAAAACAATGAATACAAATGAAACATGGCGGTAAGATAAATACGTTGCGTGCTTCTCCCTGGTCTGATGTACAACCTATGAGGCAGTGCCACCCGAGCCGTATTACCCCCGAGAGAAGCAAACAACATTTGCCCGAGCGAGAGCGAAATTTCACACTCGTTACGTATAAATCATATGACACACTTGCTCCTGTAATAATCAATCCAGTATCGCTGTCCCGCCGATCGATAGGGATCGGCCCTGACGTGCCGCCCGTGAAGTCTGCCATATGTGTGTCTGGGGATAGAGACATACCCCTCCTGTAAGGCTGTCCCAGCTGATCAACATAAATCAATCATACCGACAGGCCGCCAACTGTGAAGTACACAAGATAAAGTGTCATAGCGTGCACATATCTATGTACATGTATATACATGCAGGAGAAGGACTCAACCAGCTACCACCAAAAGCTGAATTGACTTTAAATTCGACATGTTGTGATATTTACATCGTCAGTGATTGTGCCCAGTATAGTATTAATCTGTGCTTTCGTTGCATTTGTTTACAATATTCCATCTGATATAGCTGAGAGAACAAATAAGGATCACAGGAAATTTTGGCGTTCCTTTTATATTTTCCTGTTTTCATCACCAGCTTTGAATAACGCTGTTGTGATGAAAACTGGAAAATTATAAAGGAACGCTTTAATTTTCCTGTGATCCTTTATTTGTTTCTCTCAGTATATATACTTTAATTATATGAAATGTTGTGTGTTTTTAAAAAGACATTTGTGTTGATATGAGTGTATTAACTAGGATGGTGGAGTATTATGTATGTATTATGCTTGGGTGAGTAGGGGAAAGAGAGGGAGTATGTTTGGTGATTGTGGGAATGAAGTTGTGAAAGATAGCATAAATGAATTATTGTAAGCAAGACAGTTTAGGAGTCCTGGACCAGACAATCCAGTCATCAACAACATGAGCATCGATCTGCGCAATTGGGAACCGATGACATGTGTCAACCAAGTCAGCGAGCCTGACCACCCGATCCCGTTAGTCGCCTCTTACGACAAGCATGGGTCACAGAGGGCCAATTGTAACCCGGACGTAATTCTACGAAGGAATATTGATTTAAGTGAGACGTTAAACTGATATGTTTTGCCCAGACTGGCAGTATAGTTTTACGCCGCTTTAAGCATTATTCCAACAAAATCACGGAGGGGGACACCAGAGATGGGCTTCACACATTACACCGATGTGAGGGGTCGAAACGGGTCTTCAGCGTGACGAAGAGCGAATGCTTTAACCACTAGGCTACCCCACCGTTACTTGACACATAAAGACTGGTCGGCTATTACACTGTGGCATAGAGCTATGCAGAAGTAGCTGGTTGGTTGGTTTGTTGTTAAACGCAGCACTCTGCACTATTACAGCTATATGGTGGCGGTCTGTAAATAATCGAGTCTGGACCAGACAATCCTGTGATGAACATCACGTGCATCGATCTACACAATTGACACCAATTCTTACCCGGACCTTCACGGTTCTCAGACGCAGCTGCAACAGCTGCTCATGTCTGCTACACACACAAGCTGGTAATCAAGAACGCCGGGATAAAACCCCGTTTCACCTCATATCACCTGACTGATGAACAGTCTGACCTGTTTTAGCCGGCGTAAAACGATACTCACTCACTAATGCATTAAACCCTTTTTGATTTGTTTTCTGGGTCTAAACAGTCTATCGAAGAAATCCCAGAATGTGAAATAGTCGCGACTGTACCGTAGTTAGTCAGCCATAATGTTTTGTCTACTACGCATGTGGTGGGGTGGCCTAGTGGTTAGATTGGTCGCTCGTCAGGCCAAATATCCGGGTACAATGTCTGAAGCCCATTTCTGGTGTCGTACGCCGTGATATTGCTGGAATATTGCTAAAACCCAACTTACTCACATCTGGACATTCAATTATTTCCTGTTACAGGACACATCGCGCCCATCGGAAACAAGCAATCAGCCCCTCCACCCCGACCACCCCAACAACAACTACCTCCACGGCAACCACCTGGTATGTGAATATTCAATCAGAAAAAGACTATCGCGGCCTTGCCTCACGGAGGATATGTGGCATCTGCGCAAAATTATGTGTTTTTTTTCTAAGGATGTGAGAAAGTATATGTTTCTATCTTGCAGCTCCTCGTTTGGTTCCTGTCGTTCTTAAACCCGGCGAGGTTGGCGGCTTTCCAACGTTTTAACATTGTACATGTCGCCATGGAGACACACGACTTCCTCATGTTGGCTTAAGTATTTACCGTTAATTATTTAACGTTGTCTTCGGACAATAATCAGCATGTCAGAATTTACTTTGCTGAAAACATTAAATGAATTCAGATTGAACGTGTGTCGTTCTCGTGTTTGTTTGTATCAGAATGAATAACTATTATTTTACGCCGCATAAGCAGTTTTCTAGCTATTCGCGGCGGTGTTGTATCAGAACACAAATGAATACGATGTACATACATGTACCTATGTTGATACAATTGCTGTAAGGGGTAAGTTTCATTTAACCCACACATTCGCAATTAACACTTAACGTTTAAATTGTCTTGACTGGGCTGTGCAAATTGGTCACAAAAACATCAACAATTTGACTATTTTCTCTGGATATCTGGAGGCGACTAACGGGATCGGGTGGTCAGTCTAGTTGACTTGGATTGCCACATGTCATCGGTTCCCAATTGCGCAGATCGATGCTCATGCTGTTGATCACTGGATTGTCTGGTCCAGACTCGATTATTTACAGACTGCCGCCATATAGCTGGGATATTGCTGAGTGCGGCGTAAAACTAAACTCACTCACTCCTTTATGAAGAGAATTGTGTCAATAGGTGTTGGCATTAGACTATTCATTCACTCTATGATATCTTGTATAGATATAAAAATAAATATGGGCCTGACGCCTTTTAAGGTAGATGTAAAGGAAAATGCTGTTAGTCACGATCTGTCGAGAGCAAAAAATGTTTATCTAAATCATGTAGATAAATAACAATGTAGAACATTAATAATCATGTAGAAGTTCACAAACTTCGTAAAATTGACAGTTGGCATGGTGTCTCTGAAAT